GAAGGCACCGAAGGTTGATCATTTGAAGCTTCATTACGTGGTACAGCCCCAGAAGACGAAGGCAATAAATGCCTTTGGAACAAACCCACAAACCTCTGATGATCAAGTAAAATCTAACCATCAGATTCCTGCAGCTGGTCGAGCTTCATTTTCATATTTGTAGCATAGTCATGTGCGAGCTTGTGCAACTGTTTATTCTCATGCTTGAGCCCTCTAATCTCCTGTTTGAGACTTATCACTTCAGCCGCCAATGATTCAACTTGGCGGGTTCGAGCAAATTGGCGTTGGGCCATATTAGACACAGACACAGAACCTGCACACTGAACACTGAGAGCCTGAGAATCCTTAACAGCCAACTCATCAGACCATTTGGAAAGTAGTCTGTTATCTTTGGGAGTGAGAAGGTTCCTGGCCACCACCGCAGCGGTCATATCATTCTTCATCACAAAGTCCCCAACGATAAGAAGACCACTAGGGGATAAGAAGGATGGGCGCCATATGTTGTCTTGAGAAGGCATGGCTGCCTCTTCACCAAAGTTTAAGTCAAAACGATGGTCGGATGGGCCAGACATTCTCATAAATGATGAAGGAGAAATGAAGTGCAATAAATCTCTGAAGTAAAGGGAAATTTCCTACAAGCAATAACTCTCTGAATGTACTCCTTGCACATAATTGGTGCCCTTATAAAAGAAAGGGCAATAGGGTCGTTGGTTCAAAAATCGAAGAGGCACCACTCTCCACACGCAACATCAGCTCCTCAGGTACCACAGATAACTTTACCAAATATCTCTGACAAAGTTTAGACATATAAATTTTGAAGATCCAGCTACCATACTATTACCTACAAGGGTAAAGGAATAGCACCACTGCTTGATAACTAGAAAGTCCTAATGTGTGTCAACCTCTGTGCTACGTGGCAAGGCAGACTGGCAAAAATGCCAAACCTTTACTCACATTCGAGAAAACACTCCCAACAAGATTGCTTGTTCAAAAATCGAAGAGGAACCACTCTCCGAATCTCGAGAGCCAGACTCCCAATAGGATTACTTTCTCAAAAATCGAAGAGACACTACTCTCCGAATCTCAAGTGTCAGACTCCCAACAAGATTGTTTTCTCAAAAATCAAAGAGACACCGTTCTCTGAATCTCGAGAGCCAGATCCCCGACAGTATTGCTTGTTCGAAAACCGAAGATGCACTGCTCTCCGAACTTCGAGAGCCAAATTTCCTTGGATAAAGCTTGTCTGCAATCTTCACACGCAACATCAGCTTTCCAGATACCACAGACCACTTTTCAAAGCGCTCTGACAAAGTTAAAACATGTGAAGCATGCAACTTCTACTACATTGCTATGACCAAGAAGAGTAAAGGAATACCATTATTACTTGCTCAAAAATCGAAGAGGCACCACCCTCCGAATCTCGAGAGCCAGACTCCCAATAGGATTACTTTCTCAAAAATCGAAAAGGCACCGCTCTCCGAATCTCAAGAGCCAAACTCCCAACAGGATTGCTTTCTAAAAAATCGAAGAGGCACCGCTCTTCGAATCTCAAGAGCCAGATCCCCGACAGGATTGCTTGTTTGAAAACCGAAGAGGCATCGCTCTCTGAACCAAGGAAGAAAATATCGGTAATATCGGAAATATCGGTAGTTCGAAAACACGGAAATATCGATGGAAATATCGGGATAATATCGATATCGATAAAAATTACATGGAAACCACGGAAATTGTAAGAAAAACTTGAAAATTTTTAATGAAACTTTGCAGGATGTTTATTTAGTCAATTATCTATTAGTTTATCACAAAAAATTGGAAGGAAATGCATTACATGATGGATTTAACTGATTTAAGTTGATTATATAGCGAGCTGGCAAATTTTTTACTCTTTGAGGTTCAAATTTTTCATTCTTTTCCTGAAATTATATATTTTCATTTTTTCCCTGAAATTGAGTCTTTTATCCTAATCTAATATGGACCCCTAGATTAATTTATATTTTCACTCTTTCCCTGAAATTATATAAATTGTGCAATTGAGTCCTTTATCCTAATCTAATATGGACCCTCCATCTTGATTCTCACTCTCTGTCACGCTGCCACGTGGCAGACCACTAACCCTCACCCTATCTCTCTCTCTCTTTTCCCGAGTCCCTCTCGGACCCCTCATTCTCTCTCAGTTCTCAACTCTATCTCTCTCTCGAACTCTCGTTCTCTCACTCCATTTCCCCGATCGCACCCACACCCAGGCACACCCAAATCCGTCCACCCCGATGCCAGCGCAGCATCTCCACCACCCTCCTGAACTCTCCCTCCCTCTCCTCCGTCTCTGGGAAGCACGGTGACACGCAGAGGAAGCTCCATTTCCCCAATCGCACCCACACCCAGGCACACCCATTTCCCCAATCGCACCCACACCCATTTCCCCAAATCGTTCGATGAAGAGAGCATCATCGGGGGACTATTCGATTCGGTGGGGAAAGGACGAGGTGAATCTGTCGCTCTCGCTTTTCTCGATTCGGTTTTACGAGAAGATGAACTACACTCGGTGGGTTTTTCCCTAAATTTCCCTACTTTGGATATGTAATTCTTGTTAGATCTTGAAGTTTTTTGTGTAAATTAAGGTAATTTTTGAATCATTATGCACTGTAATTCCATAATTTGATCTATTGGAATTTGGGTTTGCTTCAACTTCGTGTTTGTTTCTGGGGATTTGGGGGAATTTCGGCAGTGGTGATTGTGATTGGCGGTCCGGAGGAGTCCTCGCGCTCGGCGGATTCCGGCGGCTCCACTCCCTTTCCACCGTTCAGTAAGCCCTCCTCCGCCTCTTCCAGCTCTGCTCCTTCTTCTTCCTCGTCGGGAGCATCCTCCTCACGAAAATATCGAAAATATCTCGAAAATATTGCGATATTATCAATAATATCGCGATATTTGGACGATATTTAAGTGGATATATGTAAAAATATCGTTATCTAAAAAAAACGATATTATCGGCGAAATATCGCCGATAATATCGATATTTAAATCCTTGCTCTGAACTTTGAGAGCCAGATTTCCTTGGATAAAGTTTGTCTGCAATCTTCACACGCAACATCAGCTTTCCAGATACCACATACCACTTTTTCAAAGTGCTCTAACAAAATTAAAACACGTGAAGCTTGCAGCTCCTACTACATTGCTACGACTAAGAAGGGTAAAGGAATAACACTACTACTTGTTGTTAGGGAGACTCCTATATATGTCGACCTCAATCCTCCACAGCCAGGCAAACTTGCAAATAAAAAAATGCTCAACTTTTCTTCACATCCGATAGGGCACTCCCAACGAAGTCTCTCGAAATACTCAGCTTTCTTCCCCGCCCCCCCCCCCAATAATACCTATGCAAACCAGCCACACCAGAGCAAGAGTATCTCATATCATCAGGGTTAAAAGCAAAAGTATCCTATATCATGCTTTTTCCCTGTCTTTTCCTTTGACCTTGTTCTTACCTGCAAGACAAGGAGAAAGAGAGCAATCAGTCAGCACTTGGAATCAAGCTTCTAGTCAGGAACTGACTGCTTGAAACCCCTTGCCTGATTACTTACCTGGCATTGCTCTCGAGTACTCATCTTCAACATCTTATGCTTCCAGAGAAGATACCACATCTGCATGAGGAACAAATAAGGCAAGTGAGAAGGATACAAGGAATCATGTGGAGACAAGCGTAACAGAACACGTGCCGATACATCTACTACTTTGTCAACAGCAAAAGTATCACATACCATCAGGGTCGAACGTACTCTAAATTTGATGGGTTTTAACCCTTAAATTCTTAAGTCAGCCTTATACTCTAGAGGGAACCAGAAAACCTTCCAGCCCAGTTTAAGAATAAGCATGTGGAAAGTTACTTCTTCAAAAGAAAAAGTATCTCATATCATCTCATCTCCATTTGCTTCTCCTTATCCTTGGTGCTATTTACGACACAAGGAGAATGAGAACAATCAACCGGAAGCCGAAGTCAAACCTCCAATCCAGGTTACTTGCTTGGAAGTCTGATTGCTTACCTTGTCTATTACCTCCTTCGGCAAATCTCCTAGCTCGGCGACTTAGGGGACTCCTACTATAGGGTTTGTATCGCACTTGACCAAGCTCGAAACTACAAGTAAGCTTCAAGTGAAATTGATACATTACCTTGTCCACCTTCTTAAAGATACCACCTCTGGATGGAGGAAAAGTACTTCCAGAGAAGATGCCACATCTACATATGAGACAGACCACACTTTGGTACTTAGAAGTTTCGTGATTACTCAATGGCTTGGATCTTGCAAGTCCCCAACCGAGGAGCTTCCCTCACTCGGGAACTTAGAAGAGCACTGTTTGTACCATACTTGACCAATCCCGAAACTACTAAGCACCGATCAACGTTATACCGTCAAGGACCTAGAAGAGTTTCCCTTCAACCAGGAGGCCAATCACAGCGCAACACGTGTCGACATTAGAAGCCAATCATAGCGCGACACGTGTTAACATCAGAAGTCAATCACAACACGATACGTGTCAATATCAGAATGAAACTAAAAACTCTCTTCTATAAATAGAGATCATTCTCTCAAAATATTTCTTAATATCATTTGTACTAAATCATTCACTAGTACTCACTAAAGGAGAGCTAGAACCTATGTACTTGTGTAAACCCTTCACAATTAATAAGAACTCCTCTACTCCGTGGACGTAATCAATCTGGGTGAACCACGTACATCTTGTGTTTGCTTCCCTGTCCCTATCCATTTACATACTTATTTACACTAGTGACCGGAGCAATCTAGCGAAGATCACAAACTTACCACTTTCTATTGTACCAAAGTCCTCACTGATTTTGTGCATCAACAATTTCAACCTAGACTAGAAAAATAGAGCTCAAACATCAAAACTTCGACAGAGAAATCAGATTTTTCTTCAATACTACGTGGCATTGAATGGTTGGAACAATAAATATTTTAACCAGATTATACCCATGCTATGCATAATGTTGACGAATGAGATGACATAATATTAAATATCCAAATGGACAAAACAGTAACAGGTTATACGATTAATCATCTGAAATCCTTCCTTGCATTACAAGCCAAACTAAATGGATAATTTTCCATATACAACCTATCTGGGTGAGAGACCACCTACGGAAACCATAATTTGTAAACTAAAATGGCTATAAACATCTACCAACTACATTTTATGACTGACCGAAATCAAGGAAGCAAGAATTTTCATCTCTACGCTTATCCTCCTCTATGATAAATATACACAACTACGCCCGAGCATGTTGGCCTGGTCATCCAATAATTGACGATCCCCAGACTGGAATCCATCATCTGCAGAGCTGCTCCTAACCATTGTTATTCCCTGTCACAATCAAGGGGTCAGAAAACACAATCACATTCACAAAAACAAGAATATATGTGCTGCAAATTATCCGCAAAGAAAAAAAACCGGGGGGATAAAATTTAACCTCTAGAGGCATTCCGGTTCTGACTTCTGTGGCCCTTGTCATGTGAAACAGAAGGAATCTTTGAGATGATCAACGAGCTTTGCAGTCCTTCTAGTAGCTGTGGCCAACAATGTGATCATCTCAGATTTACAGTTTTGAATATAAAATAAGAGAATGTTCACATAGATACCAACGAGTGAACAAGCACCAAAGCTAGCATAAATGTTGTACATGGATACCAACGAGTGAAGGAAAATGTTATAATATGAACAATAAAAGTAACTACAATTTTCTTAAATCAGAAAGATGTTGGAAGAAAATTTAGGGGCATTTTACATGCAAGCCCTTGATAACATAGCACTTTCGAAAACACTTCAAACTCAATACTTAAGGGAAACAACCCAGCTTACTTTGTAACAAGAGAAGGGCACCAAAAGAATTTCACAGCAATCAATCAATTAGAGCTTGACAAGTTGATGGATGGGGTTTTTTTTTTTATTAAATTTGACCGCTTTAGTGTTTTTGTATAAAACTTAATAGTTGTCGAAATGATTTTTCCAATTTACTAATGATTTTACAAACCTACACTTCAATTAGCAATTCAACTTCCAAAAACATCCTGTACAAGTTCTGCTCATCACCAACTTTATATCAAAGTAGCAGATAACCAAGGGAACCATCCTCAGATTGAGATATAATCAGACTAAAGACTTGATAAACCATTTACCGCGATGTTTATCATAACAAACGAATAAGCATCTATATGCAAAACAGAGACCAAAATATATCCAAATGCTTACTCTTGATGTAGGTTGAATTCTGCGATTTGATCTACGAGGCTCAACAACTTCAGCAGTCGACTTTGCTGGATTTCCGCTAAACACTTTGCCCTCCTCAATTTTACCCAACCTTCCACCAGCAGGTGCAAGTTTTCCTTTGTTTGCCCGAGATTTAGCAGTTAAAGTGGAGACTTTCTTAAATGAAGAATCAGATGATGGAGCTAGTGAAGAAAATTCAATTTGGCCCTGTGTTGTTTGTGATAGGGTATGCTTTCCGGATAAACCCTCGGCACGGTTTACAGAATCTTTGATCTTTCCTGTATTGTCCATTTCACTTGAACCATCAGAGGCACTGCGTGCATCTGTTAAGAGGTTGTCCTTCTGTGCGGCAGATTTACCTGACAAACTTTGCAGCTTTCCAGATCTCAGACCCTTTAGCTTGGATTCTGCCACTTGTTTTTCCCTCTTGTCAATTTTAGATGTATTTTTCAATCCACGGGATCCTTGAGGCATCAAGTATTTCGGAAATTTCACCGAATCACTAGTTTCATTAGTCTTGTTACTCTCATTTTCCACATAATGTTTGCTAACTTCCATGAATTTTCTCTTCTTTCCAGGCTTGGGAATACCAAAAACAACCCCCCTTGATCCTTCCTTCTGCAACCCTGTTCGAATTGTTCTGGTTGCATCAAGCTTATTCTCAGTTCTGGTATTCGTACCCATATTAAATACCTTTTCATTTGCAGATAAATTCAGTACCCTTGGGTCTACAGGTTTCCCTGAGTCAACAACATCAATGCCTTTTGATGTGCTATCCTTCGCTTTGCCTTCCACTGCAGGACTGCCCAATTTGGGTCGCTTTTCCTGAGGCATATCACCCTGAACATCAAATTGCACATCAGTAAAATAGAAATAAAATTGACTAGAGAAGTTTTCAACAATCATATGATATTAAAGCATGAAGCTATATAAACATAGTACCTCAAGGAAGGAGGTGTCATTTCGCACACTAAACCATTCAACCCATTTGCCATCCTTCCAAATGAGAGAAGGCCGAAGATGCCAAGCTTTAACAACTGACTTTTCCCCTTGAGCTGTAAGAATTCATAAGAGTAGAGTATCCGATCAACTAACAGTAAGTTTCAAATAGTACAGTGGCAAGCATTTAGATGAAGTGACTTAATGAAAGCAACCCCACCCAAGAAAATAACAGTAATAACAATTCATACACACCTGGAAAGTGGACAGTTAATATAGTTTCATCTTTCTTGTTTTTCTCAGTGACAACTCCTTCCCACCAGCTGAAAAAATAAGTAAATAAACATGTGATGTGTTGCAAATGGAATAATATCAAATGAAAAGTCCAAAAAATAGATGTGGAAAATGGAAAAACAGCATCAAAATCACGGTATGCAAGAAGAATAGTACGACTGAATGCGAGTTTGCAATCACCAAATGCACTAATATCTAATATATCAACTCTACCAAGTTGCTCTGAAACCCAAGACTAGGCATGCTTAAGATAGTGAAGAAAGATGTAGGGAATGTATATCCAAATAAAGGAGAGTTGCAAAGCAAAATTAGTCTAGTAATCGAAAGAGCAACTCACAAAATATAAGGGCTCATTTGGAAGTACTTTTAAAATGACTGAAAACGCATTTCAAGAAAATGTTTATAGATTTTAAAAGCACTTCCTACAAGAAGCACCGATTATGTGCTTATTTAGGAAGCACTTCAAGCGCTTTTCATGATTAACTTGAATTTTCACTAAAGATTGATTCCAAAAACATTTTCACAAAAAGCGCTTTAAGCCATTTTAAAAGCAATTCCAAACAAGCCCTAAATCTTTTTGTGCATGCTAAAGGAAATTGCAGGCAGTATAATTATATTAATCTTCATATAAAAATTTCTCTAGCAAGATTCTCTGCAAGAGCAATCAATTGTTTTGAATTTTATAACTTGCGCTTACCTCTCCTGTATCCATGCATCAACTTTATCTCCAACAGACCAAGTATAATCTGCCATCGCTGCTCTGCGCCTTTTCCTTGTTCCGTCGTGTCCCAAAGCAGTAACAGGGCGGGCAATTCGTATCTTTGGTGGCTTATCTTCTTCACCTTCAAGTGCCACCCATTCCTGCAGTTTCCCTGAACCAAGTAGATGAGAAACCAAGTGTAAAGTAAGTGACCATGCACATGCAATAGGCATAACATCTTAATAACGAAGAGTTCTATTTATGAAATATATGATTAACAAAATGCATCCAACCAAACAAACTCCTAATGATAAACAGTCAACATGAAATTATCACTTAAAAGAAACTGGTAACACCAACATGAGGCAAGGCATGTTGAGGTGGTATACCTTCATCTGACTGAAGCTCAGTGTACACACACAGGCTTTTCCATCCTGCAAACACAATACCTTAGCAGTAAACCAGGCTTCTCCAAATCCAGCCCCATCTTTGAGAACCTAAAAGAAAACAAGTCAATTTTATGCTACGGCCATAAAGCACATAGAAATGCCAAGCTTCACAAGAAAGTGGGCACATGAACATATAAACTGCTGTAAACAGTCCAGTGAACGGAAAAAAGCTAATCTCTATTTTTTTGAGAAAAGAAAAACTCCAAACCATATCAGATCACACCTCAGCTTCATACCTCTACTAGAGAACCCTCCTTGATGCTGCTTTCTTCAGATGCTTCTGCTTCCTTTTCAAAATCATTCTCGACAGTAATCAAAGCAGAGTGTGATATGATCTCAGAAACATTGCGGCCTTTTGGTCCTATTGACCCCTTTTCAATGACTGTATCAAACCCCGTGGTTCCTACACCCCGCCTCAATTGATCATCCATTGATTCCTTATTTACCTCTCTCAGAATAGGTGACTTCTCATGTGCAGTCAGCTGTGCTTCATGCTTATCTGATTGTCTATCTTTAGAACCCCTAGCAGAAGTATCAGCATCTTCTCCAACAGTAACTAAATTTGACTGTTCTCTTGACATGCCACTGGATTTCATAACCAGTCCTGAAGAAACTTGAGGTACTTTCCAATAACCCTCTGGACCAGCTTCTACTAACTGACTCAATGGCAAAGGATCACCCATAGCAACAATTATTCCAGCTTGTGATACAGCTTCTGCTGCCAGCTCAGCAGCTTTTACAATAGCATCCATATTTTCAGCTCGCTTTGAGGCTGCAGATGCAACTTCAACTCTCCTTCTAACAGCCTCCCTAGCTGCAACAAGGATCGAAGTTGAACTATTTGTTCCATCTTCACCCCTTAAAATGGGCACAGGACTTTGGCTTGCATTCCCATCATTATATGAAACCAAGGCTTCTTCAGCCATCAATTTTGCTTGTAATGCAGCATTTGATGCAACATTGGCAGCTGCAGCTGCTGCCTTCGCAACAGCAGCCGCGGCAGCTACAGCTGCAGCAGCAGATGCCAACTTAGCTTCGACGTCTAATATCAATCTGGAATTTTTTTGCTTATCCGAATGATCCCAAATTTCTTGGCTGTGACTAACAGCTGCAGCAGCATAAGCAGCAGCTTCTTCTGCCTGTTGCCTGGCCTCCTTAACTTTACTAAGAGTCTCCTCTGATAAAGTTGCCCTCTGCTCCAAATCCTGATCTGCTTTTTTGAGGTGACCAGTGGAAGGCATCTGAAACACAGACATAATCAATTTCTCTGGCATGGTCTTAGACACAATGGTACTTGGGGTTGAGATGGCAACAGATGTAGACAGACTACTACTACCAGCAAGTGTTAAAGCTGACTCGGGTTGAGATTGAGCTTGCATAGTAACCTGAACATGATCCTTGGAAGCTGAAGTCTTTTTTCTTTTTCTAGGCTTAGGGTCAGCAGAATGCTGGCCCTGTGATGCTAACACCTTTTTGGGGTCAAACACTGCAGACGCCCCTGCAAAAGTACTAGTTGGGGCCCCAGTCTGAGCAGAAGGACCAGAGGAAACATGCTTCATACTAGGCAATTGTGGCAGAGATGTTTCTTTTACAGGAGTCAACTGCACTGCTTCTGTACTAGGAAATGCTGAAAAAAGGTTACTGGCTTGAGCTGCAGAAGACTGTGAAGAAGCAAGCCAGGGACCCCGAAAGGAGGCCTGAGGAATCCACGTAGCATTATGGCCCCCAAATATGTTCCCTATTGGTGGTGTTTGGAAAGGATGCAATGGATTGAGTGCCTGCTGATAATTATATTGCAGGCCCTCACAAACAGGGGTAGAAATACTCCAAAGCGGTGATGAAATAGGTATCATTGGGCTACCCGTTGGTGGAGTGCCCTTCGAGCTGGGTCGACCAAGAGGTGAGGGAATACTTTTACTCTGGAATGCACCATGTTTAATTACTTGGTCAGGAGCCCTAGAACCTGTAAACCTCAGGTCTGAAGTACAGTTAGACACTAGATCAAATCAACAGAGAATCAAACAGCTTAAAATGATAGAAAGTACCAGAACGTGATTGCAAAGGGGTTTCTGGATTAACCGGACTAGACTTTTGGCTGTGTAGCCTCTCTATGGACACCCGCCAGGCATTCTCCCACATGCCCCCTCCACCATCTAACAAAAGAACATAATTTCAGAGTTACTAAACATTTGTAGCAATAGTGAAACGATAGGACAGAGAACAAATTAACTTACCATGTCCCCCAAATGCTGACACCATATAAGCTTCTTCAGGTGCTATTCCTTGACTGCAGAGAAAATTAAAAGAGACACATGTTTTATTTACTGTCTTGAAATGAAATTTCTCTGAACTTCTGAGTAAAATAGACAATGACTAATGCATTCAACATTTGGTAATATATGCAATTCCAATTTATGATAAAAGCCCCCAAAAATGAACATTGGTACAAGAAATATACATTAAGCAACAAGACTCACATTAAAGCACCATAAACAAAGATCTGAGCGCGTAATTGCACTTGCTGCAAGTCAGTGAACGGCTGTTGAAATATTACAGATGGTGGAGCAGAAGTATTTAGATCTGGCAAACTAGATGTGGAAGTAGTAAGAACAGAAAAGGGTTTTACAGAACCATCCACATGCCCATAGGCCTTTGTCTCACTAGGTGGCACAAGCTGGAAAATTCCAGATTGGTTTTGGGACACACTGCTCGATCTGTCCCCTCTTGCTTGCACACTTCTCTTCTTAGCACTCTGTTTACCTGTTGCCTTGCTAGATGCTCGCCTTGTTTTCCGTTCAGGGGTACCCTTGGAAGCACCCTGTGCAACTTGTGAGATTTTTGCATCCAGCTGGCCTGAACCAGAATTTTGAATAGACACCTCTGCTAACTTCAAAAAGTATTTCTAAATCAGAAAATTGAAAAATCGGTGTAAAGACATATCAATAACTATACATGTATATATCTATAGCTAGCATTCCCCAATCCCCTAAAATATATACATCTATTAACAAATATAAACTATCAAAGACATGAGATCTGCAAAATAACTCTAAATCGGAATATTGAAATGTTGAAATCAGAGCACATTTATAACTATAAATGTACATACTTATGGCCAGAAATAAGCGTATATATTTATCCCCAAAAGTAATATATATGTCAAGAGATAAAATGATCAAAGACACAAGTATTATTTAGTATAAACATAAACAACAATAAGGTTATAAATAATACTCTGGGAGGTATAATAGCAGGAACGGGCTGCAAGTTGTTGGCAGCTTCCCCTTTCGGCAAATCTGTAAATAAACTCACATCCGAAGTGCCATTTCTCAAATCCTTAGAGGCATCATTTCCTTTTGGATTCCAGGAATTAGGAGAATGATTGTCACCATCCCTAACACTGTCCAAAATTGGGGCACTCAGAATTTTCGGCCCCTTGATATCACCTGAATCATGCTTAGTCTCAGAAAGCTCAATTGTTTCAACAACCTTTGTTGGACCACAATCAGTTTTGTTTGGACCAACAGAACTTAAATCACTTTCTGGCGCAACAAACCTAGCATGAGATTCAGGCAAAGAAGCAGAACAAATAGAAGCTTCACAAATCATAGAAGTGTCACCTGCAAAACAAAATATAACAATCAGAAAAGAAAAAGAAAGAAAAAGCCAAAATGAATTGTAAGTAACAACAGTGGGTGTAAAAAAGAACTATTTTTCCAGTGTTGTATATCACTCCTGCTACATTCTTATTAAATCCCTAGCATTTCATTTATATGTTCTCTTCTATCTAATCCAAACAGGCAATTTGAAACCAACCCTCAAAACTAAAGTCTTCAACTTGCAAAAAGTTTAAATTAAAAAAACCTAATACATCTTATCCAACATTAGCATCTCTTCCCATAAACACTCAAAGCCAAAAAATCACGAGTTGGAGCCACCAATAGAAACTGAATGAAAAATGACTAAAACTATCAATGTGCCTCAAAGCCATTCTATCTGCAATAGCCTCATTACAGTATCACAAAGAATCAAAATGTGAAGGCTCACTACATTCACTTAAGGTTTATCTTTTTTGTTATTTGACAACTCATTCAAGATTAATCAAATTAAATTACTCACAATTAATGCTGGGCATAATAGCCTCTGCAGAAGTCTTATCCTGAGATACTTCAGAAGTGTCAGTGTCTTTCATTACATTTTTAGCAGTACCACCACACACTTCTACCAATGTTGAAGGCCCAGTCCGCGTGTCAGAATCCATAATTGGTTCTGCATAATAGCAAAAATCATTCTAAAACATCAATACACAAATGGAGAGAAAGGAGCAAGGACAAAACTTTTATTTCATGAAACACAAACAATAACAAGAGCAAAAGAAGAAACGCCTGTAAGTTAGACATTGCAGTTATATCCAGGAAGTCTGAGGTTCAAGCCACACTAATAGCATTCGTAACTTGTGAAAAAAGATCAGGCCCCAGGAAGACAAGTTGACTGGACATAACCTAAAGCGGCAAGAGATGATACGTAAAAAGGAAAGAGGATGATGACCAGTGAATGTAAAACTCTCACCTGTTACATTTGCAGATGCCCTTTCAGAACTCTCTTTTATGGTTGAGCCATCCTGTTTTCCAAAGACAATAGCTTCAGCACCACCACCCTCTTTTGCAGAAGATTCACACTGATCTGAAGCAACTTCCCTCTCATTTGTGTTTCTCTTGCTAACTTCATTAACAACTGCATTTTGTGGTTCATTTTGGCACTCTTTATTGCAACTGTCTGTAACAGGCAGAGACTGATCAACTGTTTTGCACAACGACTGTCCAGAAACACCTTTTTCCGCTTCGGAAACAGAAACTAGCCCAGTTTCTACAGAAGGAGGTGGCACTACACATGAAAAACTTGCATCTTTAGTCATTTCGTTGGCAGTTTCTTCTTTTTTGTCACAGTGTGATCCTGCAGCAGAAGAAGGCGCTGCTTGAACCTCTGAGTGGCTAACAATATCGCTGGCTACACCATTTCCTGAAGACAAGGGAGCAGCATTCGTGGTGCCACAAGAAGCCAAATTCGAATTTTCCAGGGAAAGGTTGGCCGCTGCAAGAGAAAGAATCCAAGTTAGTATATTTAATGGATTTGAATTTATTTCCTTTCAAAGTTTCAACTTCATAACATACCTGGTTCATTACCATCAGTTTCATGTGTTAGGATTGGAACAATCAGCTCTTTATCTGTGCTACCTTCACACAATGGCGAGGATCCAGATCCCTTAACAACAGATCCATCAAACTTCAAATCTTTACCATTCGAATCATTGAGCAATTGTATCCTATCCTTTTTACTGGAAGGGAGATCCAGGTTACCATCTGGTCCATCACCAACATCGCCTTCCCCGTAAACTTTATTATCATCACACATTTGAGTTGACTCCTCAAGAATAGAGAGTGATACATGTCCGTGAGCATTCAATTTCTCTCTAGAAATTCCAAAAGCATCACGAGGACTTTTAGAAGATCCAGTTACATATGCTTCACTAAATACTTCAGCTGAAGAAGATGTTGCAGTCAAGTTACAATGAACTTCCCTATTTTCATTACTTCCATCCTTAGAGACATCATTTTCCTCAATCGAAGCCTCGGATGTTCTGACCAAAGTCCCACTATCTGGTTGGAAACCACTTTCTAATGCATTCTCCTTGGAGCTACTCCATTGAGAATCCACCTTCAGTTTAGGATCTAGAGTTGAAGAAATACCAGCATTGCTGTTGGTGACCTCAACTGCATACCTATCATCGCCTCTGTTAACCATTGGTGATACATCATGTGTGTTCAATTTAAAATGATCACCACCAGTACCCGTATCTTTAAGCAAGACTGCATCTTCACATTTGTTGGTCACCGCAGGAACCTCAGAGCACCCCCTGTCACCGAATCCATCCGGCATATGTAAGTCAGAATCCCCTTTCAGTATAGGATCTAGACTTGAAGAAATTTCAGCATTTTTGTTGCTAGGCTCAACTGCACAGCTAGTCTTATTTTCATAGGCCCTAGGTGATAAGCTCTGTGTGGTTGGTTCTGATTGATCACCACCAGTATCTATGCCTTTAAACAAGACCACATTTTCACATTTGTTGGTGTCAGCATCAACTCCAGAGATTTCCCTGTCACTGCATTCACCCAGGGCATGTAAGTCAGAATCTTCTTGCAGTATCATATCCAACGGTTCCTCCACACTAATAACATTTTCTTGATTAGCAATTCCTCGTTCCACAGACTCCACCTCAAACGATGAACAATGAGGGTTTTCCAAATAACAGGTAGCCTTTTCAACTACTTTTTCATTCACAGGTTGAGCCTCTATGCTCAACACATGACCGTCTGGATTCTCTTCAGTGATATCTTTTAAATTATCTTGGACATCTTTGTTACTCAACTCATCACTTGTATTAATATTTTGCACAGATATCATATAATCAACTTGCATTCCTGAAGCAGAGGAATCTTCTTTTTTATCTGGAGGTTCATCAACCACATATTCCAATTCCATCTGATTTACACCTTTGCATTTCCCATCAGCAAAAGGACTCCCTTCACTTACATGCGGGGTGTCCTTTCCACTAAGATCATTTGGTTCCAAGTTATTTGAATTTCCATCAACTAATAATTTACCTTCACGGGTTTGTGAATCATCAGCACAAAGCTGATCTACTCCTACATCCTTTAAGCTAGAAAGGTTTTTGGAAGTCTCCCCCTGCTGTAATGTAGGCTGTAGAACTGTAACATTCCCCGTTTGAGAAAGAATCTTATGATCATTATCCAGGTTAGGCTCCATCTGCTCAGTTAAGCAATTCAGTTCCTTACAGGCATCTGATTCCTCAAAAATTGTCTCAGAGGGGATAATTTCTTCCTGCCCAACAGATTTTAATAGCATTTCAACAGATTCTGAGGAAGTCGCCTCAGACCAAACATTGTTGCGCCTTGATATAGAGCAAGATTCTACTGCAGTGGAACTAAACTCTATCCCACTACTCCCACGAGAGAAATCCTCAATCCAGTGGTTAGGTTCGCTACTCTCTATGCCCAGAAAAACCTCGGTTTCAACCAAACTATCAAACCTCAAATGCCCTTGAAGGCTATCATCAAAATCAAACTTGGGAAGAGCATATGGCTGTAAAACTGGAGGACAATTAGTACTCCCTTCACCAGCTAAATGAACATTGTGGCTTTGAAGATCATTGTCATCATAATCCATGGGTGTATCCCTAAAATAGAACAGCAATCAGGGGGATAGAGTACAAATAAAACGAATAGCTAAATCGAGATAGACAACAATATGTGCAAGTATATGGACCAAATGTTCAAGCTTTGCAACCACCATCTTGCAGAATAAGTAAATAGCAAGTACAATCATTAAGTAATCACTACCAGGGAAAAGAATCTGAAGCCCTACATCCCCTTGCTCATCAAACAGATAATCATCCCAAAGCAAGCGTGGCTCATTAACCATTTATCATCAATTATGTTCAAATTCATAATTTTTTTAAAAAATTCAGTCAGACAGTTTGCAAACTCTATCCATGACACTCACAATCTGAATTTCAACAATTTATAAATTTTAAAATTGAGCAAAAAAAAAAACACCATGCACATTATTTTGTGAATTATACAAAAATGATATACAAGAGATAATGCAAACATACAACAACCACACAAAACCAACAAAAACCTCAATCAATTCAAACAATGATGTGAGATATCAATAAAAAAATGAAACATAAAAGTTTTGTACAGTAAACAAGATTGTCATATCATGCTTAGCACAAGAACAATAGAAAGTTATTTATAAAGCGAGAAGGAAAAAAGGGTAAAGCTTACATAATACCAGGAAATACCCTTGCTTAAATAAATCAAAGCTACAATTTAATATTATAGGGGTAAAGTAGTAGAAAGATAATCTTTTAAAAAAAATTAAAATTCGACATTCAGTAATGGGCAATTACCTAATGCTCCACTTTTTAAAAAATCAGCTTTTCTAAAAAATTTAATAAATTATAATATAAAAAGGCCAGTATAAATGTACTCATGACATATATACTTTTTAATAGCTATATAAATTCCATGCCAATAAATTTTAAGCCAGTGGAACTCTTACTATGTTAAGAACCCTTGATTGGTAGACCAAATGAAGTTCCACTTGACCAGATTCTTAAGTGCATTTTTTAAGAAATTCCTATAAAATTAAAAACGTATAATACATAAACCTAAAAAAAAAAAAGAAAAATAAAAATGGAGGTCAAGGCACTTTTAATAAAATGGGATATCTCATCAACTACAACCAAAAACTTCAGAAAATAAATGCACATCATATGTAACTGATCTATACAGAAAATCACGTTAAAACCACAAAGACATCAATCCTAGCATACTATTTTGAGTGATGATTTCCCAAGATTCTATTTTGGAGAGCATGTAGAATTATAGATTAAATGGCTCATCTGTAAGAGGGAAAGATAAAGAATCTATCCGTCACTCCCTCCATAAACACAAAAAGTAATATTCAATTGTACAATAATAAATGTTAACATTCTCTTACTATTTTATAAGTCAGGAGGGAATTATTTACTTCTAACAAAAAAAAATTACTAAAAAGTTAATAAAGGAACAACTGAAGATATGCAATGGTCACTGACCTTGAGAAATCCTGTAAATACAAAGTAAAGGTATGGCAGAACACAAAATCTACATTCAAGATTAGGTTTCCATACGTCGAACAGTTAATGATTACTAAGAAGAGCCAGTTGCGGTAATTCTTAAAAATGTGTACTAAACTCACAACCATGCATTCAGATGTTTTCAATTTCCGAAACATGCATGTTCCTTGGCAAAATCCAGCTTTGTTTACAAAAAGCAAGAATCAGCTGAATAATACCTTAAAAGATTGTACAAAAGTAATAAATAAATTACACACAATTAATGATAAACTAATAAAGAAATTTCAAAGATTAAAGCTTCAGCATTTCCGAATAGCTCCAAGTACGAATACAAAAACGAATAAAAAAAGCACGAATTTTTTATTTAAAACTCACCATTTCGAAGCATAACAAGGAACTACTTTGGCCTAATTTTACACAGATACCCTAGCTGTATACAGAACCAAAAAAGAGGAAATGAACAGTACCAGAAGAAGTAAGAAGTCTAGAGACGCTACCTCCCTCCATCCGGTGAAGAAATCCAGCCCCTTTGATCTCTCAACTGTTCCCCAATTGTACGGTCATCTGCAAGCCAAAACCCTAAGCGTTAGTCTCTCAATCACACTCCTCACCCAATTGGTAACGACGCATCAGCAAGGAAAATTGAAACCCTAACACACGAAATGGAAAACCCGTCGGAGTTCATCATACCGGAGTCTTCGAGTTCCCGGCGGATAGAATTAGGGTTCCGGCGAAATCAACGAAGCTACAGGCGAAGAGTGAGAAAGACTTGCACGAAGAGAGAGAAGATGAAAGAGTGAGAAAGAGAGAGTGTGTGTTGGCTGACCGAATTTGCAAAATTCAAAATAAAAAAACGGAAAAATGGTTAACCGAGGGTATTTTCGTACATTAGCTGAAATCTGACTGGTATGACAGTATGAATTGACACGTGGCTTCTCACGACTTGATTTGACAATTGGGTTATCCTAATTGGACGGTGATGATGGGATTTGGAGGGGCGTTGTGTGACATGCGGGTGATTCGAGTTGTAAAATTCAACAGATCTTGACACGTGTCTGGAGTTGGTTGATACAAAAGGCTATATAAGTAAAATTATCTCCTTTTATACATAATGAATTTGTCCTTTTATCCATGTACTATACTATATATTTATTCAGATAATTGTCTTTCTTCTTTGTGTGATAAAATTCTAGATTCAAGATATATTTAATGATAATATTCTACTGTATTATCATGAAAATAGAAGAAGCAATAGTTACTTTTTATAACTTCATAAAGAGTCGTACACAACACGTTGTAATACAAAAATAGCATGTTCAATTTAAAACGTATCAAGTCATAGAAAACAAATAAATTGGATTGTGTTGTTCAACATTAGATGCTACATTTGTTTTACCCCTTTGAGATTTTTAATTTTTATTAATTTTGTAGTGTGTAATGTACTATTGTTATAAAAAAATTTGTAATTTAAGTTTGGGTGAGAGATTAAAAGGGTCGGTTGGATTAAGCGGTGGGTTTTGGAAATCTCAAATATTATTACTTTTTTTTTGATAATTTTAAGGAGGGATTAATAAAACACAAGTTTGAAAAAAAAAAAATATAACCCGTCAACAAAATTCAGCTTTGTAGGTAGGTTTTCACAATCCCACCTCACTTCTGTCTCTCTCGCCCATCATCTCTCTCTCCCCCATCTCTCGTCTACACAAGTCATAATGATTTTATCATTGAGTCAACTTTGAGGCTATTTTCCGGCCATCTCTGACATCCATTGGGCTTCCAAATATATATAATCTTATTCTACACTTTCCTATCTTCATTTTGATATATTATGGGTCGAATTTGGTTAAGAAACAATTGAGTTACGAAGATTTGAAAATGGCCCAAACTTCCAGCCAAGAGCTTCGATACACTTAACAGAGTTTTTAACGGAATGACCAAAATGATGGATGGTGGACAATCTCAGGGACCACTTTTATCGATTTGAAATGTTAGCAACCAAAGTGGTGAGTTATGCAAATTTCAGGAACCATTTTGATTATTTAGCCTTTCTAAAATTTGACAAATATATACTTTATAGCTAAGTAAAGATACATTATCCCCTTTATCTAAACAAGAAACTCTAAACTCCCCTATGAAGGAAAAATTTGTCTAAATGAAGATCATTTAAGTGACACATGCATCTTACAATTCGATTGAATGCAAAATCTAATTAACATGAACTTAAAATCCAATCTTTTACCCACAACTTTCAAAACCTAGTAGACGGTGAACCAAAACTCAATTCAAAATTGAATAAGAAAAATGGAATATTGCTCTTCATACCTTTGAGGAACCTTGCAAAGGCTAATCACCCAAAATAAGGGTCTTCGTTTCTTTGCTTTCCTTGCATCTTGTTAGTTGATTTGAATTGGATCTCCAAGTCCTAAAAGAATGGGAACTCTAAGTCTCCACAACAAGGAGTGATGCTTCTCCTTGCTAGCAACACCCACCCTATGTGACTGCCCTTGTAGAGAGTGATGCTTCTCTAACTTCTCCAAACAAAAACCCTAATGAGGCCTAGGCTATAACTCCCTTTATATAGTCCTTTCCTTTGAGTGAGTAAAGAGAAAACCCTAGCTCGCCCTTTATATGGCTGCCTCACTATGGTTAGTGGGCCTTTTGGGGTTTTAGTTTTAAGTTGGTAAACCATTTAACCTGTTAGGCTTGATAGTTCAAGGCCCTTGAGCCATGAAACCCAAAACTAACTTAAGCCATATTTGAACTTTTGTTTGATTACATGACATTTTAATTAATTCTAGCCATAATGGTTAAACTATTTAATTGACTTACTCATCTACATTATATTTATTCAATATCTACTTTACACAGTGTATGCTTCATTAAGTTTTCATTAGCAAGTAGATAGGCGATTAGAACTCTTACAAATCGATTATAAATTAGAACTACCTTTCAAATCTCATTTTAATGAAAATTAGTTATTGCTAATCCTCAAGGCTTCCACATGCTATGATTAACACCTAGCAGCGTGTGATAGTTAGAAGATGTGAAGAACCTATTCAATTGAAATTACAATACAATATAGTCATTCTCTAAATCAATACTCTTGATTACATTGGTTGGTCGATAGTTTATTCATGTTCACTATCCAATGTGATTCTCTTTATTGAACTTAGTGAATTCTTTTCTGGATTTTGGACCAACAAAGTATATGCATTAAGGAAGAGAATAATGAACTCCAAAACCCGGAAACAATGAAATTTTAAAACTTGTATAGTTGATAAAACTATTGGACGATGCCCTAAAAGTCAATGATAAGATGAAATGCCTCAGGATAATACACAACAATTAGTCAACTTTGACTAGTCATAGGCCAAGATCACTAACTAAGACTATCTCATCAATTGTTTTATGTCTAAGCAATGAGTCCATGGATAGAGGAAGAAGTAATCTAAAGAAGTTGGATTGCTGAGATCTTCTTTCAGCTTTTTATCTTATCCTAAATCGTTCATAGTTATAGGATTATCATATGAACATCGATAATCCGAAAGCATCGGTACATACTATGTCAACTCAATTGGGAGGATGACTATTTCAAGTCGAGTGTGTTAATAAAGAGTGTAGGCACTAAATGCGATCAAACAAGAGTACTTGAGTGGAGTTCTATATACATGTCAAGCAGTTAACTTTAAAAGTTGAAATAATGCAAGTAATCCTCTTACCTAATTAGACACATGACTGCTTTATGGATAAGCCACTAGTCATTTGATGATGCAACATGACCTTGCCTCATCTTGGGTGTGTTCTATATATCATTGAGGCTCTTGAGTTATTCATATGGGCATAAGAGTGTACAACAAGGGTTCTCTGGCCTTCAGTAAGAGAAGGAGAATATTTTACCATATGATGTTAGAATCTTTGGTCAAAGTATCAAGTGCGATTAAGGAATGCATTCCTTATACATCTCAATTGAATCATATAACATAAGAAAAATCGTATTAGAGGTTTGACATAAATTAATCATACCCTAATAATGTGATTAAGAGTATTTAATTAAAAAAATGATCAAATTGCATTGTAATTGCAACCGAATATGTTCCAAACTATTCTACTTTGGATTGGGTGGTCATGACGCATGGCTAGATGTAACTCATGACTTGTGGCCCCGCTTGATGACTAACCATATAATCGTCGATGATTGGAAGAATTAAAATTATGTTTTAGTACTAATCACCTCACTGCCTCGCTAATGAGAAGGATACTGATACACTAGTTCATTGAGATAAGTACATAATGATGAGACAAAATAATTATAAGGTAAATTACACAAAACTACCTCAACTATGAGTCGCACCACAATTTCATACCTTATGTTTTAAACATTGCAATGTCATACCTTAACTTATGAATTCGTTGCAATGTCATAGCTCCGTTAGTGATTCTGTCAAATTGGGCGTTAAGTGATGATTTGGCGCATGGAGGGCCCATATATTTGCTGACGTGGCAGTCTATTTGTGCCAAGCATTAATTTTTTATTATAAAATATATAATTTAAAAGAAGGTAAATTACACATAACTACCTCAACTATGAGTCGCACCACAATCTCATACCTCATGTTTTAAACATTGCAACGCCATATTTCAATTTATGAATTTGTAGCAATGTCAGACCTTCGTTAGTGATTCCGTTAAATTGGTCGTTAAGTGATGATTTGGCAAATAGATGTCCCATATTTTTGTTGATGTGGCAATCAACTTGTGCCATTAAAAAAATCATTTAAAAAAATAAATTTTTATGTCAAGACTTAAAATAAAAAAGAGTGGGCCCCACTCCCTTTAAATCACAAAATCCATTGTCTTCTCCAACTACACTCCACTCCGCCCTCGCCGATCTCCCCTCTCAATCTCCAACCTCCCCAAAACCCCACTGCAGATATCGACCTGTCTTACACTAAATCTATCATTTAAAAAAGAGCGGAACCATCTAAACAAAACCTTAACCATAAAAAAAAAACCCTTTGCATAATTTAATTTCTTCAAATTCACCCAAATTCTCAAGCTTTCTCCATCGAGCACCATGAAGTTTTTGAAAAATTTTCTTCTTTTTTCCCTGCTTTCCTTCGGGTTTTTTTAGGATACCTTGAACTCCCACTTCATGTCGCGGCCGTTGACCTCGAATACCTAGAAAACACCGATTCAAAGAATCGAAGAATGATATAGGTTTTCGGATTTAGGTTTAGGGGTTTGTGGTGAGAGTGGCACAAAGGGGTTTGAGGAAGAGTTTGGGATGGGATTGGTGTTGGATTTGGGATTGAATCTAAGAGTGGAGTGGGAAAGAATAAGGGTTTCAATTAAGGGTTTGGTTTTAGGTTTGAAGGTAGGGTTTCGTTTGAACAGATGTGTGGGAGAGAATGGCGGAGTGCAAAGATTTGGAGAGTAATGCGGGAGAAGAAGCTGGCTCCGAGCTTGCCGTACATAAAGACGGTGAGAGGGGAGACCGGCTAGGGTGGAGTGCAGTCAGAGAAGACAATGAATTTTGAGATTTAAAGAAAATGGAGCCCACTCTTTTTATTTAATTTTTGACATATAATTTTAGTTATTTAAATGATTTATTTTCTAATGGCACAAGTTGATTGCCATGTCAGCAAATATATGGGCCCTCCAATTGCCTAATCATTACTTAATGTTCAATTTAACAGAATCACTAATGGAGGTCTAACATTGTAACAAATTCATAAGTTAAGGTATGACATTGCAATGTTTAAAACATGAGGTATGAGATTGTGGTGCGACTTATAATTGAGGTAGTTATGTGTAATTTA